GAATCCAAACTGGAAGCTGGTTCCACAGAAGAGGGGCCTGAAAACTGAAGGCTCTGCCTCCCATTCTACTTTTAAATACTCTAGGAACAACAAGTTCCTAGAGTAGAAGTGAAGATTTGCTGGTTTCTTGGTACAAAGAGGAGAAAAATCCATCAGGTACAAGCTCGGCTTCATCTGTTAAATCTGTATTTTCAAACACCCATTCAGTATCAGTGCAGGACTTCACAGGTGATCCCTACAAGTTAAGAGATGTGTCACCTTCTGTCAGTTTGGATGTTACATTTGAAGCTGTCTTCACAGATGCAAAGTTGCAGGAATGCCCTGAAATCTCAGTCTTACATTTCAAGCCTCCTCACATCTGTGCTTGCACGTGCATCCTCGCCATCCCCAAAGATTTTAACTGCACATGGAGCTGAAATCAGCAGGTGTGCTGATGCGTCATCGCACAGCTCTGAGCCTTTACTGCAGGAGGAGCCTGGACGACAGCGCGGAGCTGCAGGTGCACACGACGGACTTGCAAATACGTGCAGGTCTTATCATCCTTTTTTATTTGAACGTTACTCCTGTGACGGCTCTTTGTCGCCGCCTTTCATCTGCAACTCTACTCTGAAAGTCTTCAAAGGACGTTTAACGACACAAAGAGCAGGAGAATGACATTTCTGTAGAGCACACTTTAGACTGCAGTAAATAATAATGACAGGAAGGGTATTCACCTACTTTCATGTCACACTGATAATAACAAGTATTCTGAATATGTCAGGTATGCCTTTGAGAGCTCGTAACGGAGCTTTCAGTGTGACATGTACAGCTGGCACAAAGGAGGATTTTGGCTTCTTGTGTCCAACTGAAAACTGAGGAGGTAACATTACAGCCTGTCAGGAGATGAGATGAGAATAATAAACTCACAATAACATCAACTGAAAGGAAATGTGGTGTTTTTTTCTTCTCCTTTACACGTTCAACAGCGGCTATAATTCACTAATGGAGTTTCTGACCTCTAATAGCAGAGAGTGCTTTGGTGAGGAGCGCCGAACTCAGCAGGACTCCTTTAATGGGAACTGCTTTCAGCACATTCACCGTGGGATTTCACAGGATGTTAATTTTCTTGCATGCATAAAAATGTAAAATAGAAATAATGAAGTTCACAATGCAGAGGAGACGAAACACAAAGACGACACAGCTGACTGTGTACATGCACGTTAAAACATTCACTACATCTTCACAACCCAGAAACGCTCTGCCTCACTTTCTGACCCTGAGTGCATCTGAGGTGCATCTGTCTGCGCACACACACACACACACACACACACACTAGTTGAAGTGGTTCATGCGTCTCTGCGATGAACTGCAGACACCTCAGGAAATCCTATTACTACCCCTGAAAGAAATGGATGTGCGGCGTGGTGATGGAGGCCCGTGCAGCTCTGCTCAGACTGCAACCTGGACCTGGCCGAGCAGCAGAAAATAGACGAGTGAAACATCCGTGATTGCAGTGAAACACTTTTTAAGTGCTTAT